TCATCATTTGGAGATTTTTAACAGCCAAATACTAAACTCATTTTTCTAGATGTGGAGGGGAAACCCGGGGGACCCGGATAAAAAAATCCACGCGACTACAGAGAGAGAGAGACACGTCTGGGTCGGGATCGAACCCACGACCTCCTGCACACCAGGCGAGGGAGTTAACATCTCGCCACCGCGGCGCCCCGGAGGATGAGAGCCGTTGAACGTTCCCAGATCGACGATTGGCTGAAGTCAACCGCGCCCAGGAGTTGCAAACGCGCGGCCGTCTATTTGTGACATGGGTGGAAAAAACCCGATTTTTCCAGCGGCAAGCATCGGGTTTTTTCTTTAATACAATTAAACCAGATTTCGGGAAATTAAAACCTGGTTTAATGAATACGAAACTCTGATCCAAGGCTTAGGCTGCTTCCTCGTCGGTGCTGCTATCGTACTCGGGGGGGCCGTCGGGCACGGGGTAGTCGTAGAATGCGGCGGGCAGGTTGGTCTTGATGAACACGAGCTTCTCCTCCACAATCGTGGACGCCAGTGAGTTCCTTAGCTTGGAATGGATGAAGCCCATTGGTGAGAAGTGCGGTTTTGCAATTAGAACCAATTAAACCGGATTTCTCCCAATCTCAGATGATCGGTTTTAATATGAAAAGACAATTAAACCCGATTGTACAAAACCCGACTGTGCCACCCTTGGTTTGTGAGCGGTGCCCTCTAACCCCGATGGGCCCCGGGCCAGACGTGATGCAATGGTTTGGCGACAGGCGTGAAGTGGGCGAGCAAAGACAGTGGGGCCCCGTGTGTTACGGGACAACCCGTGGACTCGTCAACGACTGGTGCCACTAGTGTCGCAGTGCACCTAGCCTGGCACAAGTGCCGCGTGGATTTCACGGCCACTTAGTGACACGCACGGTGGTTGTTATTGTGTGTGTGTGTAGAATGCAATGTTTATTTAAAAATGAACGTTCGTGTTGAATGTAGCCCCCCCCCCCCCCCCCCCCCGTGTATCTTTATTTTTGCTCCATAAACAGATTTCAAAACACGAGTTTGTTTTGTCAGACACGCATTTCAAACAATTCCACGAATTGGAAGTTTGGATGACGGGACATTACGCTGGGGCATCGGATGACCGCGGTGTCTGATGGGAACTCCGCTGGATGTGACCCCGATAACAACCCACAACCCACCACAAACGCAGGGGAGCACTCTTAATTTGGTTTAAAAACTTATATATTTTTTTAACTACAATTCTCTAAAATGTGGGAAAACAAAAACAGCCAATGTTGCTTTTTAAATCAGGAATGTCTCAAGCTAATTGCTGTTTAATTGATGTTTGTGTAAATTTATCAAAATTATCAGCACAGGCAGTCGCCTCCTGGCCGCCCCGCTTCGCGGGAGAGACAAACACGGGGCGCGGACCACACAGCGCGGCCCCACTCCCCCGTGACTCCCCCCACTCCCCACTGACTCCTCCCACTCATCCACTGACTCCCCCCACTCCCCCGTGACTCCCCCCACTCCCCCGTGACTCCCCCCACTCCCCACTGACTCCCCCCACTCCCCACTGACTCCTCCCACTCATCCACAGACTCCCCCCACTCCCCCGTGACTCCCCCCACTCCCCACTGACTCCCCCCACTCCCCACTGACTCCTCCCACTCATCCACAGACTCCTCCCACTCCCCCGTGACTCCCCCCATTCCCCACTGACTCCTCCCACTCATCCACAGACTCCTCCCACTCCCCCCCGTGACTCCCCTCATGACCCCTCCCACTTCCCCTATGACTCCCCCCATGACTCCTCTCACCCCCCGTGACTTCCCCCATGACTCCTCCCACTTCCCCTATGACTCCCCTCATGACTCCTCCCACTTCCCCCCCGTGACTCCCCCATGACTCCTCCCACTTCCCCCCCGTGACTCCCCCATGACTCCTCCCACTTCCCCCCCGTGACTCCCCCGTGACTCCTCTCACTTCCCCCCCGTGACTCCCCCATAACTCCTCCTACTCCCCCCGTGACTCCCCTAACCCACCCCGTGACTCCTCCCACCCCCCCCTGTCACGCCCCCATGACTCCCACTCCCCCGATGACTCCCCTCATGACTCCTCCCACTCCCCCCCGTGACTCCCCCCATGACTCCCCACCACATCCCTCGTGACTCTTTCCCACTTCTCCATGAACCCAGCAGGTGGCTCAGCGGCAGAGCGAGCGGCGCCCAATCGGAAGGCTGCGAATTCAGAAGATCCTCATTGGAGGTTGACTCAGCCCATCATACCTCAGGGGTCGATAAAATCAGTACACATTTGTAGAGGAGTCAAACGTGGTTGTCCTATGGAAAGACTCGACCCCGCCATCGGAACGATGCTCTTTAGCACTAAAGTTCATGGTTCCTTGGACAAAAGAAAAATCTCAATGCTCCAAGTGCCTGTAATTGTATCACTTCATCAATGCCCCTGCTCACTCCCCCGCGCGAATTACCACGGCGCTACAGAATGCGACCAACCCTTTCCAAATCCACCACCACAAGCGCTTCCCACCTGAACAATCATGCGGCAGATGCCACCCGTAACGTGTTCTTCTGTGTGGTAGCGGAGCGCGCTGTGACCCCACTCCAAGATGTCTCGGGGTTATCATGGACGGAAGCCTGATGACCTTCTAGCCCCACACAAAAGAGATCTGTGAAAAGACCAAATATAAGAATCGCCCCGTTTATTTGTCCACGATATTTTTCGTCACATAGCAGGCGACACGCACGGGAGTGAAAACTCCAAGTCTCGACACTGCATGTGCTGCGTTCGTTTGCCGTTCAGCATCAAGTTCAGCTTATTCAAATGAGCTCCTGCCTCCCTGCTCTCATCAATGTGATCTCTCTCCGCCTGCCCTGGCCGGCCCAGGATCACGCGCTCTGCTTTGACCCGCGCCTCCACGTGGCGTTTGCACGACACTCCCGCGTTGCTCGTATTTATGCTGAGACTTCGTCTCTGTTGAGATTTCCCCACATTTCCTGCAGTTCATTTTCAATCGGATGCGCTAAAAAAGTCGCCGCAGAGCAATAGCCGCCCTATACTCTTCTGTAGCCTTCTAATCTATAGCCGCCCTGCATCTGTCCAATATCCAATAGCCGCCCTATACTCTTCTGTAGCCTTCTAATCTATAGCCGCCCTGCATCTGTCTCATATCCAATAGCCGCCCTATACTCTTCTGTAGCCTTCTAATCTATAGCCGCCCTGCATCTGTCCAATATCCAATAGCCGCCCTATACTCTTCTGTAGCCTTCTAATCTATAGCCATCCTGCATCTGTCCCATATCCTATAGCCGCCCTTCTGTAGCCTTCTATTCCATAGCCGTCCTGCATCTATAGCCACTCTGCAATAGCCGCCATGCATCTGTTTCATGCTTCTCGAACTTAATGCACTGCGGGTTTTCAATTGCACTGTGGTTTTTTTTTTCGTTTTCAAGTAAATACATTTTTAAAAAATGATTTGTCCGAGCCAACATGTGTAAAATGTATTTTTTGGGAATTGTATTTTGTATTTTCTGTAAGATTAATTTGTGTTTGTAGAGTATGTTTTAATTTCGCATGTAACAGTTGTTCTTGAGCTGATTTATCTTTGGATGTTTTTTTTCTCGGATTGCTTGTGCTTCGTTTATGTGTTCTGCTTTTGTAATTTTGGAGACCCCCAAGTCATCCTTATCTCGTGAGTTTCACTTGGTTACGTAAAATACACTGGCATTTAGAAACTGTGTATCTATATGTGTCTTCATGTATATCTGTGTGTCTCTATCTTGACAAAGTCCCGAAAGTGAGCGTCTCCATCTTGATTTGAAGCTTTCGTGATTGCAGGAATCCATACTCTTTGGTTCTTTCGGTAAAGTCACGTAGGTATAAAATAAAATAAATTATTTTCGTGGGTATAAATAAAATAATTTATTTAATTTAAAAAAAAAATGTTTTTTATTTACTTTAATAATTTATTTTATTTAAAATAAAATAATTTATTTATTTTATTTTATGCCTACGTGACCAAAGAGCATGAGCTCCTCCAGTTGTCAAGGTCAAGTAGCCCGCATGCCCAACCAACCGCATGCCAAAGCAGCTCGTGTTTATACTCTTTGGTTCTTTCGGTAAAGTCACGTAGGTGAAAATAATAATAAAATAAAAAAGTGAAAACACAAATTTATTTTATTATTATTTTCACCTACATGACTTTACTGAAAGAACCAAAGAAAACTTCAAATCTAGAATCAACTCGTATTTGTCCGGATAGAGGCGGCTAAACGGGTGCGGCACGGGCTAGAGAAGAGTTGGACCGAAGTGGTACAGGAGGATGTGGAGCTGAGTGGACTTTCTGACGACTGGTACTAGGGTAGTGCCTACTAGGGTAGTGCCAGGCTAGGTGGACCATAAGGCTACTGGGCAGTTGGAGGCAGTCACCCTACAACAACAGCGAAGGGCAGCTAGATAAGCCACGCTCGCAGCAACGAGCGTGGCGCCGGGCGGCTAACACGCAGCAAGTTGACACGGTAGGGGTCACAGCTGGTGCAGTCACCTCAGTCAACCCATCATAACACCTAGGAAGCCTTCACGTGGCATCGAGGTGCACCTAGCCTGGCACGAGCGCCGTGGTGACGTCACCGCCACTTTGTTGTTGTTGTTGTTGTGTGTCTAGGTATCTCCTCCACGGCGTCTCGGTGACACCAGGTCACTCTTGCAAAGGAGACTGCAAACCCCGCTCAACTTGAGTTGCCGTCAAAGCAAATGAACCACAAACTCTGCCTGGGATCTCACCCCCCGCGACCCCGCCCCTCCCCCCCACGCCCCGCCCCCTCCCTCGTTAGGCCCCGCCTCCACCGCGCGGCCCCTCCCTCCCTCCCCCGCGTCGCCATGGCGATGACCCCGCGCTCCTCTCGGCCAATGGGCGCGCGGAGCGGCGTGCCGGGTGGGGGAGGGGAGGGGGGCGCCCCACAAAGCGCGGGGCTCGCGGGGCCGCGCGCAGACACCGGGCCGCGCGTCCAAAGTCGCGTCCCCCACTTCGCTCGCTCGCTCTCTCTCACCCCCTTCTCTCTCATCCCCTTCGCTCTCATCCCCTTCACTCTCTCATCCACCCTTCGCTCCCTCGTCCCCCCCGTCTCTCTCCTCTGTCTCCAGGCAGCAGCAGCAGCAGCCTTCACTCCGGCTCGGAGCGAACCACGCGGCCGCGCGCTCGTCCGCGAGAAGCCTCGAGAGGGTGGAGGGGGTCGACGCGGCTCCTCGCTCGCTCGCCCGCCGACTCACGAACTTCGGGCTCCCCTAGGCCGGGCCGACGCGCCCCCCGCGGTCTCCTCCGCGGCCTCCTAGGGTCGCCATTGCCGGCACGAGCGGATCCGACCGGGCCCCCGGCGTGGCGCGGGGAGACCCCGAGCTCCCGCTGCCAGCGACGTGAAGAGCCCCCCACCACCACCCCGCCGGTAAGGCCCCGCGTCCCCACGGGACCCGTGGCCGCCTCTTCCTCCTCGCCTGCCGCTGCCGCCGCCGCCGCCGCGTGGCCACGGCGCGACCTGCGGCCGCGGTTGCGGAGGGAGCGCGGCGCGCATGGCCGCGATGCGCTGGTGGCTGTGCGTGGCCCTCCTCCTCCTCTGCTGCTGCTGCCGCTTCTGCCGCGGGGCCTCGGGGCTGCGGGAGGAAGGGGAGGCCGCGGGCAGGCGTCCGTGCTGGGAGGCCGAGATCCGCTGCCTGCAGGAGGCCGAGTGTAAGCGCGCCTACAGCCAGTACCTGCGCGCCTGCGAGGGCGTGCTGCGGTCCGCGCCCTGGCGCGACCCCGCGGAGGGCGCCGAGCAGGAGGAGCAGGAGGAGGAGGAGGACGATGCGCCTGGGACGCAGTGCCCGAGCCACTGCATCCACGCGCTCATTCGCCTCAACCAGACGCGCAGCGGGCCCCAGCTGGAGAGCTGCGACTGCCGCGAGGACGCGCTCTGCCTGGGCTACAAGCGGATCATCGAGCCGTGCATGCCGCGCACCTACTCGGCGAGGCGCGCCGCGGATGGAGGCGAGGGCGGTGAGGAGGAGGAGGAGGGCGGCCCCATGGGCTGCACCGAAGCCCGGCAGCGCTGCCAGGAGGAGCCCGAGTGCGGCGGGGCGATGGAGCAGTACCTCATGAGCTGCGGCAAACTCTTCAACGGGGCGCGATGCACGGCGGGCTGCCGCGACATCATCGGCCGCATGCTGGCCGTGCCCAGGGCCCTGGCCCTCAGCGAGTGCGTGTGCGACGGCGTGGAGCGGCCCTTCTGCGAGGTGGTCAAGGACAACATGGCCAGGCTGTGCTTCGGCGGCGCGGCCGAGTCGGGCAGCGGCGCCTCGACGGACGATTTCTACGACGACGAGGAACTTCACGGCGACGAGGGGCCCGGCCCGCCGGTCCCCGGGCCGCACGGGCCACGGGCCGCGCTCGGCTCCCGGGGGGCCCGGGTGCGGAGCTCCTACGGGGCCCAGCTCGGCGCACTCGCGTGGGTCGCGTGGCACGCGGCCCGCGCTGCGTGACGGAGTCGTCCACCAGCCACACTCCCTCCTCTATCCACACTCCTCTATACACACTGCCTCATCCACACTCCCTCATCCACACTCGGACCTCCAACCACTCATCCACACTCCCTCCACACTGCCTCATCCACACTCCCTCATCCACACTCCCTCATCCACACTCCCTCATCCACACTCCCTCATCCACACTTCTTCCTCCACACTCCCTCATCTACACTCGGTCCTCCAGCCACTCATCCACACTCCCTCCTCCACACTCCCTCTATCCACACTCCCTACTCCAGCCGCGCTGTCCCCGCTCATCACCAGGCAGACACGCCGCACAGACGCTTGTCCGTGTTCACCGCCGTGGGAATGTAACACATCGCCCGCGTGGCCACTTCAAAGGAGAGACGTTTATCGCGTGCCTGCACAAGTGTCACGTGCGGGAACGAAGCGGCAGCATCATCACCGCCATCTCGCTCGACTGGGATTCCGAGGACTTCTCACGTACCGCTGATGATGCTGCCGGTACCGCTGATGTTGCTGCTGCCACTGCTGGACTCGATGGGATTCGAGCAACGGCGGGGGCACGAGTCGCCCTGACACTGAGTAAACTCCGCGTCGACACAGCGGCGGCGACTTGCGATGATCCACCTCTCCGGGACCATCACCTGGTTGGTTTACCAGGTGATGGTCCTCGACTCTGGTCTCCCCACGTGGATGCTGCGCCGCTGCTCATAAGCGCCATCACGAGTCGCAGCGAACAGAGCTTGCTCCGAGGCTGTGCGCTTGACTGTGGCTGCGACGGCCGTCACACGAACTCACCCCGGGGGTTCTCCACTGGGCGAGTCGGCTGTTTCCAAACACGAGAACGAAATCTGGCAAATGATGAGTAGCGACGGGGGGGGGGTCACGCTTATATTTATTTTGTCACCATCGCCATATCGAGTCGAAGCCAACCAATTGTACAGACGCGACGGATGGATCGTCGTGTGCGCTCTTCTGTATAATATGTGCATATGTATATACAAGTATATCTATTTTAAGCCAAGTCAAAATAATGTTTTTACGACCTCGAAATCACGGTGTGTGGCGTTTCTTTTTTACTGTATTAGTACTGTGGCCAGTAAATGAGTTTGAGTTTCTCCCCGTAAGAAAATCGCATCGAATCTATTGGGAGGCGATGGTGGTGGTGGTGATGATGGGTGGTGAAGGAGGAAAATTCAATCTCTGGGAGTCCCGAGTTCTGTGCGAGGGAGATTCTCGCCTCCGGCGTGAGAGCAGTCAAGCGGCACCAACTCCCTGAACACAGAGCACACACAATAAAAGACCCGCTCCACTCGCACAGCTGGCATTGTGAGTGCATCTCTATTGACGTGGAAGAGGAGGAGGAGGGGGACTTTTTCAGTTTATAAACATTCGACTTGGTCGTTTGGCTTTAGAGCTGAATCGAATTGCATAGCTGTCAACCCACGCGGTTTACTTCGTATTCTTGTACAGGGGGTTTGAGTTTTCAGGTCCATACGGCGCACAGCCGTTTCAGTATGGGCTCCCTGTGATACCTGGTTCATGAGATTCCCAATTTGTAAGATATCTGGACCTTGAGCAAGATATCTGGCATGTGAGGGATCATGTGATTTGTGCAAAATTCCTCCTCCATGAGAAATCCATAGCTGTCAACTCACGTTTTACCCCGTATTATTGTACAGGGAAATTGAGTGTTTCAGGTCCATACGGCGTACAGCGTTTCAATACGGTGTTTCACCCTTGTGATGGCACTTTGCAGGATGAACGTTGAGATGTACAGTATAAGGGGCACGGGGTGATCAATAAGGTCTGAATTGTCTGTAAAAAGGTAGGCACTGATATGGGGTTGGCAGTCATGGAATTGTTCGTCTGTGCACCTTTGTCAAATACTCGTAGCCCTGTGGGAGTCAACCTTTGCAGGGCGTCTTGAATTCGAGTGACAAATACGCACATGCCACCCGCCTGTTCATAGCAACACCCGCATGTGTAAACTATGAATCCCCCATTGTCATTCTCCCCCGAGTCTTACCAAAACATCGGCGCCAATAATCTTCCCTGCTCAGTCGACGGGATGCGTGATAGGAGGTGGTTTGTGGCAACCTCGCCCAAGGCCTCGGCCACCCTTCCCACCTTGAGGCCCCATGTGTTGTCATTCTGCACTCGCTGGACTCTGCTGCACTATGTAGGCGCCGCAGCAGCTAAACATGCCACCCGAGGTCGGTGTTGGGATGCCCTCGTCTAACGAGCAACATTAACCCACGTTCCCTAGTGGAAGTATATTAATTAGAAGGCGAGGAAAGTACAATGAGTTTGTTTTGTCGGAAAACGTCGGTGTTTGGCTGCGATGATAGTTGAGAGAATGTGGATCATCAAACGTTGGCTCTAGTCCGCGTATCCCCGTGATATTTGCCCATCTCCGCATTAACGAATCTGGCTCTCCGTGTTTCCGTGCCTTAGTCTCTCTGTCTTTGCCTCTGTGCTCGGGTTGCTCTCAGCGTCTCAGCGTGCCTCTCTCTCTCTCTCTCTGTCTCATTAATGTAGCTGTCTTTCTGTATCTTCGTGTATTTCTCCGTGCCTATCTCTCTCTGTCAGTCTTTGAGGATAGTCCTGTCTCTACATGGTCGCGGTCTCAATTCCTCCCTGTCTATCTCCTCTCTGTGGCTGTCTTCGAGTCCCTCTGTCTCTCCATGGCTATCGCTCTCCGTATCTCTCCGTGTCTCGCGCCCTCTTGCTCAGCACTGCTGCGTCTCTGTGTGCAGCGAGTGGGGAGCGATAGTGTAGCGATTAGCGTGCTGCGCTAAAAACCCAGCCACCCGAGTTCGATTCCCGCTCACGGCCAACACCAGTGACGATTATTTGAATCGGTCTCGGGCCTCCCCTAGGTCGACTCGGCCTCAAATGAGTACCTCGTGGCGGTGCGGAGTAAACATCACCACGAGGAAGACACGTGTGGCCGTGCATGGCGCTGGCCACCCACCCCACGTGCGCCGTGCCGGCCTTCATTGGTGCCACTCGCCAACACGCGCATCTGTTGAGGCTGTCCTGGGGGGATCGTTGTTGTGTCCAGCGACCCCCCGGTCCCTGCCGTGTGGCAGGAGATCCCAGGCTGGAGTTCGTGTTGCTGTGCAGTGGCATGAGACGGGTTAACACCTGTGCGTGTGTATGACTAAGGCAAAGGTCCCCATCCCCGTATAAGCTTAACACACTTAAATTTCGATTTAAAGCTTTCGTGACTGCAGGGATTCATCTTCTTGGTTCTTTCGGTAAAGTCACGTAAAAGGGAAATAATGAAATTAAAACATGATAAAATAATTCTCACGACGTTTCGGCCACAACGCAAGCAGCCGTCCTCAGGTGAAGACCAGGTCTGTCATTCAGACACTGTCTCCCCGACAGACCTGGTCTTCACCTGAGGACGGCTGCTTGCGTTGTGGCCGAAACGTCGTGAGAATTATTTTATTGGTTTATTTTTATTATTTTATTATTTCCCTTCTACGTGACTTTACTTAACACACTTCTCAGGAAGTGCACCTATGAAGGCCGGCACGGCACACGAAGGGGTGTGTGGCCAGCACCACGCCCGGCCGCCTTTATCTCCCGAGTGACGATGTTTACGCATCGCACCAGGTACTTAATTTGAGGCTGAGTCGACCCATGGGGAGGCCCAGGACCATGTTCAGATCATCGTCACCGGTGTTGTGCCGTGAGCGGGAGTCGAACTCGGTCCGCCGGGTTCGAAGCGCGGCGTAGCGCTAACCGCTACACCACCGCTCCCCCACACACACACACACCGCACATACACTGTGTGTGTGTGTCATACTGTAATATCACACACAGTGTCTGTTTGTGTGTCATACTGTAGACACTGTGTGTGTGTGTGTCGCTACTACAGTAGCGACACACACACACACAGAGTGTCTGTTTGTGTGTGTGACACTGTCTGTGTGTGTGCTACTACAGTAGTGACACACACAGAGTGTCTGTGTGTGTGTGATACTACAGTAGTGACACACACACACAGCCACTCTGTGTGCGCCTGAGGGCCCTCGAGCGGGGCCGCTTTGTCTGCGCGCTCTCCAGGAGGAGGAGGCGGCGGCGGCCTTTGTCATGGAGATGGCCCAGGCGGCGCACACAAATCACGGCGCAGCGAGTCAACACCAGGGCCCCCCACCCCCCCCACGAGTCAACACCAGGCCCCCCCCAGAGGTCTCACCAGGGCCCCCCACCCCACGAGTCTCACCAGGGCCCCTCCCCCAGGGGTCTAACCAGGGCCCCCCACCCCACGAGTCTACACAGGGCCCCCCCCCCCACGAGTCTCACCAGGGGCCCCCCCCCAGGGGTCTAACCAGGGCCCCCCACCCCACGAGTCTCACCAGGGCCCCCCCAGGGGTCTAACCAGGGCCCCCCACCCCACGAGTCTACACAGGGCCCCCCCCCCAGGGGTCTCAACGAGTTAACACAGGGACCCCCCCCCCCCACGAGTCCACACAGGGACCCCCCACCCCACGAGTCCTCACCGGGCCCCCCCCCCAGGGGTCTCAACGAGTTAACACAGGGACCCCCCACCCCACGAGACTCACCAGGGACCCCCCACCCCACGAGACTCACGCGTGACATCACACGGGCACCCAGTCTATGTTTCGTTTTCTTTGAAGGTCACGATGCTGTCGAGGAATGTGTGGAGCTTGCGTCGTTGTTGTTGTTTGTGCACCACTGCGGGAGGTGTTTTGCTCGGTGACCTCTGGTGCACCGTGGGTGGACTGACTGTGGCTGACCTTACCGTGCACGTACGGACGTTGAACTTTCTTTCGCACCGTACGGAGTCTCCCGCCAACCGTGCCAATCGGAGGTGCGAGTGACCCACGTCGCGGCTCGTGGGTCACGCGGCAGGCGCGACTCGCGGGGATGCGCGGAGATAAATCAGCGCGCTGCGAGCGATGTGATCCGGCCAAATGAGCCCCCCCTGCTGTGAGCCCCCCCCCCCCCCGCTGTGAGCCCCCCTCCGCTGTGAGCCTCCCCCCCGCTGTGAGCCCCTCCCCCGCGCTGTGAGCCCCCCCCGCGCTGTGAGCCCCCCCCCCCCCCCCGCGGTGTGGGCCCCCCCCTTTCGCGGTGTGAGCCCGCATCTCCTGGGTTAGCGCTGCGCACCTCGTCCGGCATAGCGACGCACGCATGAGTGAGTGTGGGGGGAGAATGTGGGAGAGTGAGTGTGTGGAGAGTGTGGGGGAGAGTGAGTGTGAGAGAGTGTGTGGAGTGAGTGTGTGGAGTGAGTGTGTGGGGGGAGTGAGTGTGGGGGAGAGTGTGGGGGAGAGTGAGTGTGAGAGAGTGATTGTGAGTGATTGTGGGGGAGAGTGTGGGGGAGAGTGTGGGAGAGTGAGTGTGGGCGAGGTGTGAGAGTGAGTGTGTGGAGTGAGTGTGTGGGGGAGAGTGTGGGGGAGAGTGAGTGTGGGGGAGAGTGTGGGAGAGTGAGTGTGGGGGAGAGTGTGGGAGAGTGAGTGTGGGGGAGAGTGTGGGAGAGTGAGTGTGGGAGAGTGAGTGTGTGGGGGGAGTGAGTGTGGGGGAGAGTGTGGGGGAGAGTGAGTGTGAGAGAGTGAGTGTGGGAGAGTGAGTGTGGGGATGAGTGTGGGAGAGTGAGTGTGGGCGAGGTGTGAGAGTGAGTGTGTGGGGAGGAGTGTGAGAGAGTGTGTGAGAGTGAGTGGGGGGAGTGTGAGAGAGCGAGAGGGGCTTCTCGCCGTTGTTGTCTACGGTGAACTCTTCTCGGCGCTGAATTCGCGCTTTCGCGGCGGAACGAACGCAATTATGGACGCGTCGCTGGCGGTTTTGTGCGCGCGACTCTCGCGGGGGTGGGGAGGGCGAGCGGATCAGCCACGGATCGCAGCGGGCTCCTCCATCCTCCATCATCCTCCTCCATCCTCCTCCATCCTGCCCCATCCTCCTCCATCCTGCCCCGGAATCCAACTCATGCGCTGCGAGCAGAGCGGCGGGACGCGCGCCCCTAGCACGGTGGTGGTTTTGTAGTTGTTGTTAAGAATCAAAAATTGCACTCGTGAGAAATGACCGGGGACCCAGGTTAGCACCGAGAGCTGTCCCACGAGCAGCCGGCATCGCCTTCGCCGCTCACTGAGACGACGTTCTGCTTTGCCAAGGGTCTCTTGCCCCACACCTGCCGATGGGTACAACGACAGCGACACAGATCCCCCATGTAGCCGTTCACAAACTGTTAGGGCACGTCCCGTGGGAAGAGCACCGATACAGGCCGCTACGGCACACGAGAGGGTAGGTGGTCAACACCACGCCCG